CTGAAATACTGCCATATAAACAGGTTACACAAACACAGATTGCGCTTGAATTCCAAAAGCCAGGAAGAGGGGGGGGGGGGGTGGAAATCAATGCAAAGGCAGAGTTGTAAGGTTACTATAATGTAATCTTTTATGGTGTGATGACCTTTTATTGCTTTTATAATAATGGAAACACTGGCAGTGCAGAAGCACTATAGCAATAAAGAGATAGCAGTTGAAAAATGGAAAAACAAAGTGAAATCGGGTTTGGCTGGTTATCCCTCAGAGAGCCAATATGCTGTTCTGAACACATTTCTACCTATGTCTCACCCCCTCTTCTCTGCACTCTTTGTAGATCACCTAAGGCAAACTGAACAGCAACAGACTCCATGCAGAGCTAAATCTGCTCTTTGGTTTTGCAGGAAAGGATGTGATCTTCTGTAGCAAATTGTTCCCCTGTGCTATCTTTTCCATGCCTGGTTTGTTTTCTGAAGCCCAGTCTGCTCATAGCCTGCTACATTAGTAATCAGCTTCACCCCATCAAAAGGAAATTGGGAGTGATGTATCAAGCTACAAGATGAGCAGTAGAATGGAAAACATCTACAACAGTCATGATGCATGGAAGGGAGTTTCCCCAATAAAAATGAGACACAATAAAAACGATAGCAGCATAAAATCATGAAAAGGTTGCTAGTGTTACCTAGACACATACAAACCATTCCTTGCACCTCCCACATCGTGATATAAAACTAAACTACCATAACCACCACCTTCACCAAACATATCTTTGCATACAGAATAGGCAGCCAGGGGTAGGATGACAGCCAAGGGTCAAGCATAGCCTGTGTTACAAAGTAGTCTCAAAGATCTTACAGATCACACCTCAGCTTAAATCACTGGTACCATGAAACACACAGGAAAGGACCGAGTCCATGAGCTATTAATTGTACGGTAGACTAGTGGTTTACTTGCAAACCTCTTTGGCTAACCTTCACGTTTTCCATTCTGACAACAGGAAATTAGGATCCACTATTGATTTTGTCCTTCACTATTCAAAAGAAATTCAGGTGTGAGCCTCTTCTGGTCATGCTTTTCCTAAGTAGCCAGAAAGCCAAACTCATACAATCGTTCTTTCAGCAGGCAATGAAAAAATTAACTTAAGCTCACTGGGAAAGGGATCCAGGCCTTTATGTCTGGAGAGTATTCAGCACCTACAGGCACAACCATTCATCAACAGGATCATCAGTTCTGAAGACTGAATACATTACAATTAAAGTTAATGGAGGACTCCTTTAACTGCAAGACAGTAGAAGGTTATATATCTGCCAGTAACAACCACTAGAGGGAGTTACAATCACACACTAAACTTTTGGGTTACATGGACACATTTTGGATACTACTAGGAAGCAAATAAAAGAACAGACCATCAGCTGACACTGGACAGGGTTCAAGAAAAAGAGAAACTTAGATTTGGTTTCTTAACAAGCACTTTATTTTCGAAAGGCTCAAGATCCTCTCCTGGGAACTTTCAAATAATTCATAATGGAAAATTTTCTAATATACCTTATTGCCTACATTTTAAAATGGAATAAAATATTAGGCAGAAGAAAGGAGAACTGGTCAATTTTAAAACCTAAACAGCTAGAACTATGCCTTCGAAGTTTGCAGTTGAGCGAGTTCTGACCGCCTGTGTCACTTGAAGGCAGTTTTGAAATCAGGAGGTAATCTTAATCACACTTTTGTTTTTAAACTAAATTGTAATGATTATGTCCAGCACAAACGAGCACTGCTAAAGGGCCATTTTTTTTCCAACAAGACTCTTCCTGGCTGTTAATGAATTCAGCAAAAGCATTTTCTCTGACAACCTCTGAGAAGCAACCTGCAAAATCAACGACTGTTAAACATGGTCACTAGTTCTTCAGTTTTAATTTGGTCGTTCAAACAATTCTTTTAAAATATTAAACATATTTTGGGTTTGCTTTTTGGGGGTTTTTTTCCATTAAACTTCTTGACAGCAAAACTATGAACCATTTTAGCTGGCTTCATCCAGGGGTTTTTACAGTTGGCTAACAATTTTAACAACTGGCTAAACCGTTTCAGTAGCACTTAGCAACAATACTCCAAGCTTTTAATGCCCAGCTGGAATTCTGTTTGTGCCTTCCTCCACCAGTGACAGACAGCATGATCATCCCTTGAACCAGAATCTACAAGGCACCTCAGGAGACATGCTGTTTGGCCTGAGATTAGCAGAGGGCATTTAGCCACTGCTGTTCTATGGAAGATTTGACTGCTTTGTGCTCAACACATTTACACTAAAGTAGAAATTCTGTACGCTGCTGTTGGCTGGACATGTCAGCTAACACCTCGGCAACACAAAGAGCCATGAACCCAACAGTCTTTTTTGAAAGCTCTTGCAGTATCGCTTCTAACACGAACAGACAACTGGCTTTGATGGCAAGGAAATGAAATGGTTTGAGAAACAGCAGAGAGAGTGTGTGGGCAGAGGGTGATAGAGCGCACCCTGCCACAGAATCACATCTCTTCTTCACAAGGAATAGCCATGCTTAAAAATCTTGCCACTTGTAATCATCTAAGTCTGGAAAGTAAAACAAACAAACAACCCAAAACATTTCTGGCAGACAAAGCCAGTCCTCTGATGGAGCCCTGCGGTAGGGCAAGATATATCAAACTCAGCTGCAGTAGCAACAGTATAATTCACTGAGTCTCTGGATGCAGGAGCCCAAGAACAAAGGACTTAACTACAACAGCCCTAATTTTGATAGTCAGATGTTTGGGGCAGGAATTAACTATTTGCTCTGTGTGTGTACAGGACAATACATTGGTTCTCAGCCTTCTTAGACTGAAAACACTCCTCGTTAGACTCAAGGCACCCCTCAGGAAATGCCAGCTCTTACTTTTCCCTCGTTTTTGACTACAGAAAAACAACAGAGCTATGTTTCTGTTGCAAAGAACTCAGAAAGACCACAACAGGGCAGAATACTTTGAACACTGAATTCTTATTTGAAATCTCTGGGTTTATTTTGTGAATCACGTTTACAAATCTAACAGTGCTGCGGCACCCCAGTTGAGAATTACCAATATTGTACAACGGAGTCCTGAGATCCAGGGCTGTGGCTCCCAGGTGCTACCACTATCCTAACAATTGCCCCAATGGAAGAGTTTGAACAATGATATGCCATTAGCCCAACCGACTATAGAGTAAAGCAGATTTCTCATGGTTAAGTCTACATGTAATGCCAGGATCCAGATTACAACCTTCCACAATTACAAAGATAAGGGAAATGTTTTCCCTCCAGAATGAGTTAATACGAAAGAAAAACCTTAGCATCTAGTTCTTAGGGTACCAAGTGGCAAACATACAAGTTCTATCTTAAGACTTAAATGTCTATCACACTAGAGAGTCAAATTGAGATGATACTTCAAAGTACCAGATCCTTAAAGCATTTCCTACAGAAGCCTCAGAAGACTCTGGTCCCTTGTGCAATTTGGCTCTTGCTAGACCCTGCAAGCAAGGAGCAGAACAGACATGTTTTTTTCAAGCCAGTTCAAGTGTGCAGAAATCAGATTTGTATTTTTACACATCCAACACTAGTATCCACATCTGAACACAACTGTCATTAAAAGCAAACTCAAATCAGAGCTGTATCTGTGATTAAACTGGAAGACAACATAAAGGGAAGCACCAGCCACGCCTCCTTTACTCACAAACCAATGCAAATACCCAATACCCATATTCCCCAGTACTGCTGGCAGGTGGGGATTTTTTTAAACCAACTGCCTCATGATGGTATGTCATATCTCAGACAACTCCCATCTCAAATAACTCCCTGAATCCAGCTAGAGGGTCAAGACTGCTAACACTCCTCAACATCTTAAAGTATTTGACAATCAGAATGCTGCTGATTGAAACCAGAAGCTCTAAGACTTATCCCACTATCTAGCAAACCAATTGTAAGAGTAAAGTGGCCCTTTCTGCTAACGTATTAAGTCACATGAGCCTCACAACCTTTAATTTCAGCTCTACATCTAGGCAACTGCTCTGTATATTTAGTTTTCTTACCCTTTTGGCACAAGTGGAAGATTAGGAAAGCACCTTTTCCCCCTGAAACACAAAGTAAATATGGATAAAATGCTCCCCACATTTCTGACTCTCTCACCACTAACAGCTCTCACAATCCCTGATGTTTTGTTACTTTCTGAAAAGATTCAGGCAGTCATAAATGAAACTTCGCTAGAAGCACATGGAAGACAAGCAACACTTGTCTTGTAGTAGGCTCCCTGGAAGCAGAAAGATAAACTAAAGAATAGCAAAATTCAAAAAGTCTCAGAGCGCAACTTTTTCATTTTGTTTATACACAACCAAGGAACAGATTTTTGTCACACTGCACTCTTTGTCACACTGGCAGCACTGACCTGTTTGTGATGTTAGTGTTCTGCTCTTTTAGTGCAAGCTCCCTCTGTTGCAGGGCAACAATCTGCTTTGAGAAATCATCAGGAGTCCTAAGAAATTAGAAGAAAAATAGAAGCAATTAATGAACTTAAGACATGCTAATTGTTGAATGACTGTGTGTTAGATAAGAATGCATAGAGAGGAACACAAAGGGAGAGGCAGGCAAATCTACTGCTACAGGCCAAGGCGCTCTCAGTCCATTAAAACAGCAAACTTGCACGTTTGTGACACACACACGCACCCACCCACACAAACAGCTGGCAACAGTCATTAGAATATCAAGCTGCTACTGTGCTCTGTAACCATCCTCCAGTGAACATAGCCCCACTTACCATCATGCCCTTCAGGCCACACTCTAAACCAAGCCTTGTGGTATGTGCGCCTGCACTTCCTAGCTCACGCAGGTCTAGCTTCCCTACTTGGGATAAGAGTTTGCCAAACAGTGCACTTTTCTTACTCGTGGCTGTACCAACCACTAAAAGCAAAACACGGGTGATCCTGTTTAGATGGCCACGGTGCTTCTGGGCTCTAGCAGAGTGTGTGCTATGAAGAGAGGTATAGGTTGTAGCCATGTTGGTCTAAGGACATAGACCAACTGCAGATGCTTCCTCAACTTGACAAAGGGTATTTATACCCAAAAGTATGCCAAGAAGAATTTTTCCAACTATTTGAATTGCTCTTGTAAAAGATACCAGTTTTACCCAGAGAACCTTGCCTGCTACGAAGACAGTCTCTTTATGGAGTAGGGCATAGGGAACAGATCGCTCAGCGTCTTTGCAACAGGAATGAGATTACCACCCCACCTTTATGATATGCACAGTATTGGTAACTGGAACAAGCGTCCAAGATGGCAGAGGAAACTACTTGGGTTGCTTTTTAAAGTCTCAGAAAGCCCTTGATTTTCAACATCTGGCTACAGGAAGCAGAAACAATGTCGGAGCTTGCGTGCTTTGGAGGTTTTGATATATACTGTGTGATAGTACCCTCTACTGGACGTCAGATATACTACTAGAGCCAAGCCTGGCCTGGAGACAGGCTGTAACACATCACAAAGGCTCCCTCCACCTGCCCTCGGGTCAAAGCGTTTGAATTCTATTTCCAGCGCTCTACGCACGCACGTCACTGAGTGACAGATGTGAAGAAATGGGGGGCAAACAGATCCACTTACTTCCACAACCTGAAAGAAAACAAAGCGAGTAGCACAAACTAAAGGGATGTTAGTCTGAAGGACTCATCTGTATGTGGGTTCCCCAACTTAACATCCACAGAAGCCAGGCTCAGCTCTCAAGAAATGCAGCTTCTCTCACCCTGGAGGTGGGTGTAAGTAGGCATGTGCAGAGGGGTCCTTTCAATTACATCACAATGGTTGCTTCTCCACTAAAGCAATCATATTTCCAGTTCCTCGATTTCATCCATTACTTAGCCACGATGCTGCGACAGCAGCCAGCCTCAGAGGCTGCACACTTTAGCCATATCAAATAAACACCAATAACTAAATAAATGCAACAGGGCTCTTTTTCTTTAAAAAAAACAAAAACAAAAAAACTTGGCTCATGTCAGGTGACTGAGATCAGAAAAGTCTCTTACAATAAACTCCTGCATGTCATACTTATCAGATGCCAATCAGATGTTTGGCAAACACAGAACAAACTAAGCCACCTGGATTTATTACGTTGGCAGGGAAGCAGAGGAGAAGGCAAAAGGAAGAGCAGCACTTGTAAATGTTCTTCGGAGAAGACAGTATTGCAGTCACAGAGGTTAAATCCTCCATAGGCTTGCATGAGGCAGATCCAGACACTGAAGATAAAACACCACTCCACCCACAACAGAAAAGGAAAAGTCATAAACTGGCAGACCAAGGCCTTATCTTCATTGGGGATTTCAGACATCAGTGGCTAGTCTCATGTATAAACCACCTTAAATGGACCAGCAAAGAAGCTCTAAGGCATGATTTGCACACTGGCTCCAAGCTTTATTCATGCAAAACCTGCAGATTTGTCTGTCTACAACATGCATGCGCTGGTACAATGACACCAACAGCTGTACCCAGGATGAATCACCACTGTAGCTTCAGTCTATAAAACATGCCATCTCATAAAAATTTTACAGAGGAAAGAGATTTTCTTTACAAGAAAGCAGGTGTGAGGCGAGATCCTTGATCACTACAAACCCTTTCTATTAGATTTAAGGTTCACATTTAAAATATTAAAAGACAAATTAATTCAAGCCTAAATTATTTGTTGCATTGCATATGGGGAAAAAAAACCCTAAACCTGGCAAAAATCAGATCTTATCAACAAGGACTATCATAATGCATACTGAAAAAGGAACTGAATTCAGGTTAACTGTATAACACTGATGTCTCTCAACTTTTGAGTAGTTATCCATGTAACATAAGGAGGCAGTTGGGATTTTTTGATGATTTCTTGTGTTTTTAAGAAAGGATTTAAAAAACATATATTATATACATATATTATATACATACACACACACACACACACACACACACACACACACACACACACACGCGAAAAAAAAAAT